ATGCAATTACCCACRTTGTCTGTCCGACACGAGTTGAGGTGGAAGGTGGGTCATTTTCACTTCATTTCTTTATGTAATTTTTTTCAGCTCGAGTTAGACTAGTGCTGGGGAGAGCACGATTCCCTGGGCAGCAAGGGATGGGGAAGGGGGAAAGGTCCCTCCCTGGGCTAAAGGAACCAGCTGGTGACCAGCTTACCAAACAGCCCCAAAAGAAGTCCCTTGCCATGTTTCTGCCTCCGTGTTGCTCCCCTCTTCCTCTTTCTCCTCGCAGGCATGGCAGCAATGTGCTAGTGGTGGTGTTTTTTTTCTTTTTYTTCCTTCTTTTTTTGCCCATGTGGCACTAGATGCCCTGCAGCATGGACCCGGGGCAGGTGGGAGCCTTAGGCTCTATCTATCCCTAGCACTTCTTCCTCCTCAACACCTTTTTCTCCACTCGGAGCATCCATGCATAGCTCTCCGTGTGTCTTCTGGGATCTTCCCAGGAAGCAGAGTGTTAAAGCACTCCTGTAAGCTGTCACTATGAATTGGAGATGGCATCTGGTTGCTCCTTCTTAAACTTGGCTGCTCCTTTAGCTGCCTTCCTGATGCCCAGAGGACACGAGGCCCTGCTCATTCTGCAGCTACCTCCTCCCCGGGCAAGCTGTTGTCCTTGCGCGCTGAAATGCCACGGTCCAGGAGGAGACCTGCAGGGCTCCTCATCAGGCACCTCCTTGATGACACCTCGTGTTGCTGCAGATGGAGCCTGGAGCTTTGGAGATGCAGGGCAAGTCATGATCCTGCCGCATCCTTCTGGAGGAGGTGGACCTCCATGYGCTGCCTTGTCCCTCTCTCGGGCCCTCCGAGCCCTATTTGCTCTTGCTGGCAGGTAGTAAACAAGGCTTAAGCGCTGAAGAAGGGAGAGGGCACAACAGAACGTGCTGCTTCACCAAACTGGGGAGCATTAAATGGTAATAGAGATCTGTTTGTGTAGCAGCTGCCTATGGGCTCGCTCCCGTTAGCGATTTCCCATTAACGAGTCTTTGTGAGCGTTGCCGGGCACATAAACTTTGAACAGATAGCTTGTCAGCCAGGGATTGAGCCTTTCATAGATCTCTTTGATGGAACAATTYTTAAGAACAAAAGTGGGGGCAGGCAGGGAGCGTTTTCAGCCCTGCATCCATGAAAACGAATGGGTTGCTTGAAGATGCTGGAGTAAGTTGAGCGGGTCTGTGGACAGTGGTGGGATTGTTACCCAAGGGGTTGCTGCCCCAGCACCTCCTCCGTGCTCACAGAGACTACTTTTCCCTTCAAAGCCTTTTGAGACCCTCTTGCTTAAGTAGAAAGACAGCAAGATAAAAATCTGTTTTATCAGAGGACACCCTAATTCCTGTGGTTCCAAGTAGGAGACAAGAACTCCTGGGAAATCTCCTAGCTAGGTGTTATTCCTTGGCTATTTCATGGTCTCTCTGGGAGCCAGAAGGCAGGAGAGGGCTATGGCTGGGCTGAACTCACCAGGCAAAAGAGTCAAGAGCTTCAGAATTGCCCTGTGATTCAAGGCACCGTGTGGGACAATTTCAAGATGCCAAGTTTCCAGATTGTGGCCCTGAATGCTGCTGGAAAGAAGGGCCCCCTGCGGCTGTAAGATAGTTAAAGATGGAAATAATCAGAATCATTTTTCATTTTTAGAGGTTTTGGCCAGTTAAAGCAAGCTGCCTGCACCTTTCTCCTGCACATCATCCAGCTCCTAGTGCTCGTATTGAGACATCAAATCCCTCTGTACAGCGATTTAAAGGGGTGTCAAGGGAGAGCAGAAGGATGGAACGGTTTCTATATGAGAAGAGCTTAAATAGACTGCATCTCATCACCATAGGAAGGAGATGACTAATGGGGACTATGATAGAGGTCTATAAAAGCCTGAGCAGCGTGGCAGGGTGAGCAGGGAGTGATTGCTCTTTCTCAGAACACAAGAAGCAGAAGACACCAAAGGGAAGGAGTTTTGAAACACAAAGAATAGACTTGTTCCCCAAACCCATAACTCGTCTCAGCTGTGGCTGTTGTGTTAACTAAAAACATAGATTCGGGAAAGAACCAGACAAATGCTGAAGGTGAGAGGGAGAAATGAGCTCAAACATCATTAAGGTTTTCAGCTTGGGGGTACTGGTACAATGTGTTGCCTGGGACTTGTGACCATGTGAAGCTGAGCACCGTGAGGAGAGCATCACTGCATGCTTGTTTTGTCTTCTTGCCTTTTCCTGACGTTCAGGGCGTCCAGGTGGCTTCTTCTTCTGATAACCAGTGCTATGTCTTATTTAATGCTTTGGTGAAGCCCAGRGGTGAGGTCCTGAGTTATGGTGCCCAGTGAGGACCTTGGAGCTCATGGCATAGGGGCTCTGTGCTCTTGGGCTGGTGCAAGAGGAGATGGGGAGTCAGTGAGTACGCCTGTGAGGGCAGCGAGGGGCCTTTGGCCAGGGAAATCTCCATATATACAGCTCTGGTACCTGCAGGGGGGAGGTTTTTCTGAGCATTACTGGGTGCCTGACTGCGCTAGAGCTTTGCAGGTTGTTTGAAACGGTATGGATCAGTTCTCTCTTATCTCAAAAGTAGCCTTAGATATTTTTTTTCCCTTAATCTTTGAATAAATAACATTTTTCCCCTATATCTACACTCGTTTTTTACTTATCTCCTGGGTAAGTGTAATTTTTCATGGAATAAGGCTCACAAGGGACTRCCAACTCATTTGCCTCCAAGCAGACCCCTCTTAGAGGGCTTGGAAAGCGACTGAGTTGCAATGCTGAGGAGCAGATCGAGAAACCCTTCCCTCTGGGTAGGCAGCTGTTCGGRGAGAGGGCTGGAGGTAGAAATGGTGTAGCAGCAGCAACATGCAATGGTGAAATCTTTAAAACACCTTCAACCATGACCTGCTGCATCTTCTCTGGTGACCTGAATGCTAGAGATGCTGCATGAGTGCAGAGATGGAGTCTGTCATGGTGGACCCTCCTGGAGGGTGGAGGACCATGTGGTTTCTCGGTTTTGGAGGTCCYGGCTGTGAGTTCAGGCTCACCTCTCAGGTCTGCATGAGGCCAAATTGACACCTGGTCCACCTCCCTGTGGTCAAGATGACCCATCTGGAAAGAACTCTATTTCTCTACGTGTGAACTTAAGATGCCCAGAAGTGGCAATCTCTGGAGCTTTTCCTTTCTATGTTAAATAACTGGGAAAAAAAAACATTATTTTTTCATTAAAAATTCATTTGGAAGTGGTGAGATTTCTGGGAATGTAATTAGCTGAGTACTCCTCCTCCATTAGTTCTCCCTAGAGTTTCTTGGGATCACTCTTTTCTCTTTTCCTCCTCATTTAACTTTTTTTAGCCCTTCTTCAACATGCTTCTGTTTGCCTGGACAGCAAGGGGGGCAGATCCTTTTCAACCTCCATCAGAAGTGAAGACAACAACGTAGTTATTCTACGAGACAAGRTCTGGCCCAGTTACTCCTTGAGAACACAGCAGTAGAAGAGAATTTCTTTGCGCCTTGTCCTCTCTCCTTTCACATCATATAAYCCTATTTCAGCTCTCTCCAGGCATGTAATCTCCTCTTTGGGTGCCCACTAGAAGTAGTGGGGTAGAGGGGCTAGTTGATCAGTTCTTGAGGCTCTACATAAGGACTGTGGGAAGAAGATGGAGATTTTGGGCAAACCTTCCCTTGCACATCACTTGCATGAGCTTGTTGCCCACACAAAATTGCCTGGTTGCTCAATGACCATGATCATCATCTTGGTGTCTCCACAGCGGTGCCAGCCTATGCRTTTGCCTCATCTGGGCTCATTTCCAGGAGCTGCCTCTCCATGTTGGACAGGCTTCCTCCAGGAACTCGTGCTCAGTAGGAATCTGCTCAGTTCTCAGAGATGGTGGCCAGGCAATGCTGCTGAAGGCCACACGTTTAAGGCAGCCTARCCATGGTGCATCAAAGGTCCCTTGGCAATCAGTCTTCTTTCTCTGGCATATCAAGATCCTGCGGGTAATTGTGTTTCTGCAACCAAAGGTGCTGTGAACGGCGAATGAAAAGAGAATGGAGTGTACAGGATCTTCGAACTTTGTTACTAGAGGAAAAGGAGCCTCTCTCTGATTCCAAGATGAGAAGAGGCTGATCTGCTTGTACGGAYGAACCTCCCGCATGTTGATGATGGGAGGATGGCAAGGATCTCTGCACCGTCTCCTTGCTTGCACCCTCTTCTCCTTCTCTGTAAAAGCAATGAGGAATCYTGTCTGCCTGGAAACGCTCTGTGGTTGGCAGGTGTATGGCCTTGATTTTCCTGAGGGTTTTGTAAATGATAAGCTGCTGAGGAGTCAAACTGCTGTTTAAAATACTCTTCAATTAGGTCCTTAATGATGGGGCGCCTGGCACCTCTGCGATCTTCTTCCAGGCTAACTTCACTCTATCGGTTCATGTTCATCTTACCTCTGAAAGGTTAATTTTGCAAAGGTAAGTGCTGAGAGACCTCTCCCTTCCCCTCCCCCTCCCTGAAATTATGGTTGAGATTGATTAAGATTTATTCTTTTAATTAAGATTGAGARGCTGGAACCCCAGGGTGCACCCAGCCTCAGGAAGAAGGGCAATTATGCAGCAATTACACAGCCTTGTAATCACATTATACATGGGCTATAGACTGAGATCCACCAAAGCCACTGTAAATAGGTCATTGGCAAACCCAAGAGTTGCTCAASTCTTTGGTTGTCCTGGACTCCTGCTGAGATTTGTGCCTGGTGCTTTAGGGGAATAGCAGGGGCCTGGGACGACCAACATTCCTACGGAGAATTCCAACTTTTGCAGCCTTTGTCACGGGTGACTCGGCGCCACTGTGACCTCAGGTCTCCGTGACCTCGTGGCATTCCCCCAGCACGACGTCTCCKCTCTGGAAGTGATTCCGGAATTCCACAGATGTGCAAAGGAAGAGCAAGGCACCAAAGTCCTCTCCAGCCATAGGCATCGTGCTGCAGAGCGCTCGGAGGCAGGCCCACCTGAGACATGGAAAGTGCCTCTTCTGAAGCCAACGTTTCTCAGATCAGGTCTTCCTTCTCCTCCCTGCTGGTAAGTGTGGCCACTGGCCAGCGGTCGGACCTGGTACCTCTTGTTGGGACTCCTGTGCTGAAGCGGCAGGTGGGATCAAGAAATATGYAGATAGCCAAAATAATAATAAAATAAAATATAATTTTTATTAAAAAATATATTTWTAACAAACCCCAAAGGGAAGTAAAACTGCGAATATAAAGAACTGCCCACCTTCCAAATCCTGCCCCTTTGGTGGTGTCTGCCCTGTGGGCTTGCACGTCTTGGGTGTTGTCACCAGCTGGAGTGAGGAGGCCGATGGCTCTTTGGGGGCTTGCAGGGGAGCTTAGGGGCATCCTAGTCCTGCAGAACAATTTGCAAACACCAGGTGCATGTGTCTTAGCGGAAAATCTGGGCTTTGGGCAGCGACTATGGGCACTGCTCTCAAATGCCACTCAGGGTAATGCAGTTAATGCTCTGCAGCCTGGCATTTGTGCCTGCACCCAGAGCTGCAAAGTCAGGAAAAGCCTCTCTCGTTGCCCATCACTTTGCTGCCAGACTTTATTAGAAGAAGAAAGAAAAAAAGGAGGCAACTTCCCTGCTCCCCTGGATGTTAAAAGAGCTGGGCATCAGTATTGCCRGCGCGTTCCTGCTCCTTGCTGCTTGGATAACTGCCTCTCCGCGGGCTCTTTGGGCCTGCGGAGACACATTATTAATTGTTTGTTTGCACGGCTGGGTTGCAGAGCTCCCGGATTCTAATAACTTTTGCTCTCCTCGCCCGTGCTGCTGATTTTGCTTCCCTTAATTTCCCCTCTCCGGTCGTTCCTAATTAGCAGCTCTAACCTGTGCTCTCCTTGCCTTTCATCCTTTGCAAGAAACAGGCTTGGACTGGAGTTAAGCGGAACGATGCTGGCTTGGGGCTGCCTCTTCCCACCACAGGAGCAAGGGACAGAGCCCAGGAGGGACCTGGAGCTGCTCTCCTGCTCACCCAACTAACCCCAGCTCTCCTCCTACCCCCAGGAAGCCAAGCAGCTGCCCATCGACCGGAACGAATGGGAAGGCTATTTTGATGAGAGCGGCCACCTGGTGAAATCCTGGGATTTTATTACATCCATCATCCTTGAAAGGGTGAGGAGCTCCAAGACCAGGAGGGTGGCAGCCTGTGTGCGTTATCCTTTTGCCTCAGGATTCTCACGTCCAGACCCGGATCCCAGTCTTCCCTAGGGAACTCGGGGACACGGACCATTGAAACCACCTGCATTTTTCTCTTGGCATGATGACACACTGATGGCCACTGGTGACCACTGGTGATCACCAATGGCTGTGGAGGGGTGATGCTCCAGGAAACTGATGCTCCCAGAGTGTTCCTGCTTGCCTGTCCTGGCTTTGGAGACTAGGGAGACAGCTGAAGGGTTAACAATTCCTGTTAAAGTGTGGMTGGGTGTTTTTGGTGTGTTTATTTTTTTTTTATTTTGTAGAATATATAAGTTGTCGATCAAATAGCATCCCTACGCCTGGAGATGCCGCACACCTCTCGTTGGGCTTTGCTTGCCGGCTTGCTTTCTTGCTGCTGTTTCTTTTCTTGCAGTTTACAAATTAGTCAGCTTTGCCCTGTGAGGAAGAATTGATTTTTATCACAAAACACCTTTTTTTTTTTTTTTTTTAAACCTCTTAAAAAAAAAGGAAAAAAAAAAAAAGAAAAAGGCTTTTCACTTCCATGAAAGGAGCCAGGAGAGCTTAGAGATGAACCCAGACAACCTGTCACAGTTTTTGTGAGCTGTGAAAACACTCTGTTTCCCACCGCCAGAGCTGCTATGGAGCAATTTTACTGTTGTGCTTAAATGCAGCCCCTTTGGTCTTGAACCAACCCCTGTGGACACTGGTGGCAGTTCAGGTGAGCTGGGACAACTGCTGGGCACATCAGACCTTGCCCGCTTGGACGTGATGGTGGTGGCCCTGTGGACGGGYAGGACCGGGGTGATGCATCTGGGAGGTTTCGATGAGGGCTGATCTGTGTGGTGGAAGGCGATGGTTTGCTCGGAACCTTCTGGTTTCGGGACATCTTGGTGAAAATGCTTCTGGCATTGTAACTGAGACAGGAATGACTTTGTTTAAGAGAATGTTGCAACTGTTTTCTGTTGAAATATGTATTGCTTGTCAAAYAGCCTCTGGAAAACCCCAAGTAGTGACTGCTCACTGGTTAGTTTGAGTGAAATGTCAACCTGGAAACACTTTAACCACCATGAGAAGCTTCCTACCAATAAAACAGGAACCCCCYCAAATTCTTGCCTGGATAGCATGGTCTGGGCCACTGCAAGCTTCATGCATGCCTATCCAGATAGAGTCCAAAAGATGTTTCCACTCATCCCCCAAGGCCATGGTTCCCATGGAAGGGCCTGGCACACCATGCTAGTGGCTATGTGCTCCTGAGCCACCCATGCTGCTGTCCCCAGGGCCTGGACCCCTCGGTGAGGTCCGAAGCGTGGAAGTTCCTCACGGGATACTACTCATGGAGCAGCTCACGTGACGAGAGGCTTGCCGTTGAAGGCATGAGGAGGTACATCCAGCTCGCTGCCCCCTTCCTTAGTTGTCACCTGGGGTCGAGYGGCTTTCGTGTGTGGGTACTCTTCTACTCAGTCCTTTGGCACCTTATGAGTGGGTGCCAACCTTCCTGAGGTGTCTATCCTTCCTCTCAAGGTTGGGTGGGGGCAGGTATTGAGAGACTGGATTGCTCTCCTGGTGTGGATGGTGCCTTTGAGAGCTTGGCATGCACATGGGGCATGTTCTCCATAGTCCTTGGAAGAGATGCTCCTTTTTTTGCCATTCCCTTCTATGCTTTTCACACTCTTTTTTAAGAAGTCGGTTTTGGAAGACCAGATCCCAACCATGGTGGGAACTAYGGGACTCACTGGTGCTGCCCAACCCAAGGCTTCACTGGGATTTGCTGTGCACCAAATGTCCAGGGAAGTGCCCTGGCAATGGCCATGCCTTCCAAGTGTCCCMTTCCTGCAGGAAGAATTACGAGTCCTTGGCCAAGATGTGCGACAAGATACAGCCCTTGCTGGAGACGGAGCACCGGGATTTCTCCCGAGTCTGCAGCTTCATCAGTAAGTGCGTCGCAGAGCACCAGTGCTCATTGTTGTATTTCTGAGCACCGAAAATCCCCCACAACCGCTCCAATTTGTGACATTTTTCTCCCTCTTTTCTCATCCYGAATTGCTGGATTTGACTACTAGCRCCAGCACCTGCTACAACACTGCCTGGAGCCATCAGTGTTTTAGCGGTGGGTCAAGTGACCCAGAGAGAGAATTATATATAGAAAGGCAGGAGATAGAGATGTCATTAGAGAGAGGCTGGGCGTCTGGAGAGCACCTCCAGGCCCATTTTTTTGTGGATGAAAGGAGCTTACTTCAGTGAAGAGCATTATTATATTCAGATTCCCATTTAGGCTTCTCCAAGTTGTACAACAAAAGGAATTTTAAATGATATTGCAAAATTTATGTTACAAATCAATGTAACCTGCATAAATCAACCCAGCAGAGGCAAGAAGGCAGGGATTGTGTTTTTTCTCTGTGTTTTTTTTCTAATGCCTTGCTGAGACTAAGTTGCATCAGAAAGGAAAGGTCCTACATGGAGCTGGAGAAGGTCTTAGAAAAATGTAAAGACTTCAGCCAAATATAATTCCTTACTCCTTTCCTTTATTTCTTCCTCTTGTTGTTTGGGGGAAGAAGAAAACATTACCCATCTTCCTGTACAATGTGCTCTGCTTAGAGAGCTGTTGTGAGATTAACTAAGGTTTTCAGAGCTTAAACTTTCAGTCTKTGTGTACGGAGACCTGATGACGTGAAGCAACCTGGTTTCGAATGGCTTGCTCCAGATGTGAAGTTCTGGTGGCTGTTCCTCCCTCTCCCCAGACTCGGACCTGCAGAGGCTGTACACGAGAGATGCCCAAGGCCAAACCAGGGTGGACAAGAAGCAGATGGAAAAAATCCTTTTGCTCAGCTATGTGTGCAACATGGAGGCTGGTGAGCGCGTGAAGAGCCGCTCTTGCTGGGCCCTACCTGAGCCCACAGAGGGAAGTTCTCCACCCTTCTCCCCTCTGTGTTTCTGTGGCTTCTCCTTGCCTTTCTTTCCTCTGTTCCACATACCCCATTCTGATCCCGTGCTGATCTCCATCCTTGCTATGCGAGTGCATCCGTGTCCTCTTTCCTGGCAGAGTACCAGCAAGGCTTCCACGAGATGCTCCTGCTCTTCCATCTCCTCGCTGAGCAGGAGCACGAGATCTACTGGCTCTTCCAGTTCTTCCTCCAGAAAACAGTGAGTTTCTGGGTGCTTGTCCCTTTAGTGGGGATGGTACTGTGCTGAGGTCTGGGTCTGTGAGGACTCCTGGGCGTTKCTTAATGGGTAGCACCCCGTGTTATATCACCTAGGCTTGGATCCAGACTCTGCTGGTGACCTCTGCTGGGACTGGAGCCATAGGAATGGGGCCAAATTAGGTTCTTTTGGGGCTTGTGGGACAGGTGGAGTTGGGCCACCTGAACTGTCCCTGCTCTGTCTCCCCCAGGAGCACAGCTGYGTGATGAACATAGGTGTGGGGAAAAACTTGATCATGCTCAAGGCACTCATTGCATTTATGGACCCCACCTTTGCGAAACACCTGGGTAAGTCCCAAGCCTCTTTGCTGCCTCCTGCCAGCCCAGAGAAGATGCTCCTGTAGGTCATAAAGCAGCATTTACAGCAGATCCCTGCAAAAGAAGGTAAATGTTTGCACAGCAATTGACTTCATCTTTGCCCACTGATCACGCTGAGAATGCAGGTCAGGGACACTGAGCAGGGGTTACACGTCCTGGCTCTCCTGAGACAAGCGCCTGGGAGCAATTTGAAAGACCTTAGCCTTTTGCACTCGCTTTTCTGAATTTATCTGTATTCTGTGAATTGCGAGGAGATGGAGCTGAGGTCACAGCCTTTGAGCATCTCCTCCAGCTCTTCCTCTGCTGAGCTGCTCTTCCATCGGAAAGGGTGGATCAGGCCTTCTCAGAGTCACGCTGATGCTGTTTTGGTGGAAAGTGACCCYGCTCCATGTCTTTCAAACATGTCTTTTTGCCTTTGAATTCCACTTGAGTTTCTGATTGGAGTCTGCTCTTCTCATCTTTCAGAGGGAAAAGGCACACAAGTCATTCAGTCACTGTTCCCCTGGTTTTCCTTCTCCTTCCAGCGGGTGTTCAAATCCTTCTATGATGTCTGGAGGCTCTGGGAGGTGAGTACTTCTTAATGACAAGAGCTTCATGTATTTGACGTACACCTGGGTTACGAAGGATTATTGCCAGGTATATTGTCCTTAACAGAGAATAATCACCATATCCAGACCCCTCAGARCTATAGGGTGTCTAATTCCCCATTCCTAGCAGAGGATCTTGATGGGCCTGGCCTTTGGGTGAGATCTGTAAACCTTAAATGCCTTTTAACCCAATTTTAGGAGGATCTAGCTCCTCATGGTCCACAGGAGTTGGATCWTGGGAGAGGATCCCCCTCAACCGTATCTCAGAACACCTACAGTCAGCTCGTGATTTCTTTTCTGAATAAAAACTCTGCTCTTCGTTAGGAGCAGGTCTTCGAACGCGGCAGCACTTGCCCACGTGGACGGGTTTGTCCCTGTTCCCAGGATGGTTATCCCTAGGGCTCCCAGTGGTTTGCAAGGCAGTGCCCTCCCCACGGATCCGTAGCTCCGGCATCCAGGCTGGGACTCCAGGAAAAGGAAAGAGGCTGCCAGAGCGGCAGGATTCCCTGCTCCCCCATAAGCTTCTCTTTGCATCTCATTTCTCAGCCCTGCTCCCCGGTGGTTTTGATATTCTCGATTAATATTTGCACAGCGCCATGCACACCCCTCGATGAAGTCTTCAGCAAGTGCTCACTCCAATTCCTCTCCACCTGGGCAGGGGGAGCCGGGGGCTGCGGGAGCCCCATCTGGGCAGTGAGGAGGAGGAGGAATCCTGGAGACGAGAACAGGGCTTGGAAGCCAGCTGCAAACTCCCTGTGCACCTSTTTGCCAGCCTGGTCCCATAGACCCATTGCCCAGCTGGTCCCACTCTGGGTTATGCGGGTGTCTGCGTGCAAGGTTATTCAGGGAGTGATTTTTGGTGTGCATTTATCTAAAATATCTCTGTCTCCTACTACTTGTTCCTCCCTGGCTGCGGAAGGCTCTTGCACGGAGMTAGCTGGGTCGATCTTTGAGTTTAGATGTAAATAGAGTTCAGTAAAATACTTGGTGTGCCCCCAGGGCCTCCAGGAGCCTTGCTGCTTTTTGGAGGTCTTGGAGCATAGAGGCCTCCACAGGAAGAAAATGGTGATGACTGTGGAACTCCTTGCTGCAGGATTTTGAGGATGCAGCTTGCAGAGTCCAACTGGACAAGCTGACAGGAGAGACATCTCTGAACCTCAGAAACAGAATCTAGGGCTGCATGGACTTGCATGCTCATTCACTACGTCTGCTCTTATGGCAAAGAGGTCCACCAGACACCTCCTTCAACCTGGGGTGCAATCAAGTGCAAAGGGCTTGACCTGCCTGCGTGGGCCGTGAGGGACCATTGCAATTCCTCCCACACCTTTAACAACTATGACCCCCTTGCCCTGTTCCCAGAGACTCCCTCCCTGCAATTGGTGTCATTTGAGCCAAAACCGTCAGGAGGAACATCCAGGAGTTTGTGCTGCAGCTTTGCTGTTTTTCAGCCTAGCGGGAGGCTCTGCTCTTAGTGTGAGACGCTCCGTTTTGCTGGCTTGGGGATTTTGCCTGTAGGCTTCCTGAGGCTTTCTTCCCCCTGCTCCTCTCCCATCTGTTCCCCTCCAAAGGTTTTCTTGATAGGGAAGCCCTGCCGAAATTTCCAAGTGATTGTGGCCTACACGCTGCTGCAGACGGTGAGAGACCAGATCCTGCGGGAGAACATGAGTGGAGACGACATCCTGATGGTGAGTGGCTGTGCGGGACATCCCATCCCACTGCTTTGGGGGCATTCCTGGACCCCAGGCTGCCAGGGCTCTCTGGAAGTGGTTTCAAAGGAAAAACCTCGAATTTGAGTTTTTGGAAGTGGTTTGGTTCTAAAGGAACATGCTGGCTTGTGATGCAGGTAGGCTGATGTGAAGGCATCTCCTACCTTGTCTCCAAGCAGGGTTTTGCCAATCTAGCATGCCTGCAAAAATGACTTTATTTCCCTGAGAAGAGTGAGAAAATCCTGGAGAGGAAGAAGAGAATCGGACTGAGATTCAAATGTGAAAGTTGGGGCTTTGGTCTTCCAACCCTCTCTCCCAGCTCTCCCCCCGTTCAGAAGTTGAGCGGATGCGTGAGACTGCCCTGATTTTCCTCCATCTCTTCCCTGGCCAGCTCTGCGGGAACCTTGTGGACCTGGATGCCGACCAGCTCATCTCTGAGGCCTGCTCCACCTACRAGCGCCTCCTGGAACATGCGGACAAGGTGAGATGCAGGATGCCCCAGGAGGAAGCTGCAGGGAAGAAGCCATCGTTTTGTGACCTCAACCGCTCTTTCCCAGGTGCCGGCTGCACTCATGGAGTTCTTCACCCAGGCAAGGAAATAGGAGCAGGAGGCAAGCTGACTGGATGCAATAAATACGTGCACACAGGCTGGTGTGGTTTCATGGGGAAGTTTGCTTACCCTGGCATTTTTTTGTGCTCTGCTGTTCATCTGCGCTGGTCAGGAGATGGGATCTCATCTTGCAACACAGCGATTTGTGTGGATCTTGCGGCCAGGACTGAAATGCCTGGCCCATTGGCACCCAGCTTTGATCCTGCTGTCCTGTTCCGCCCTTGACCAACTTGGTATCATCCCAGCTGGGGCCAGGGCACTGTCTGACCTATGGTGCTAGCAGCAGGCTGAAAGAAGGGAACTGGGAAGGCAAAGGGCCATTGGGAGACAAGAGCCTCCCAGCTCCTACTTCTACGTGGAAGAGCCCATGCAGAAGGACAGTCCTTCCCTGGGCAGAAGTGAAGGCATCCACTCTCCTGTCATTCGTAGTGCAGGATCTGGCTGTGTTTTAAGGCTGGCGCCCGCTCAGATCCTTTAATGTCCTAGCTTGTGCAGGACTTGTGCTAATGAAGCCTGAGTTTGACATCAGATATCTCATCTTTGAGCACGAGACTGCCCATAGCTTTCTCATGAGCCACTGATGTGRTGGACCAGACTGTGATGGAGACAGACACCAACTGGCCATGGAAAATGCTGCACCTCTGGATGGACACAGAGCAGGCACTGAGTTCCCACTCCTTGGCCTATGTCCAGCTCATCAGCAAGGCTTCAGCTCTGCAGGGAAGGTGAGTGGGATGGGGTTGACTGCAGGGCAGGATGGAGATAGCACCGATTCCACGTGTACTTTGGAAACTTGGCACATCTGGAGAAGAGGAGGGGCAGAAAGCAAACACCTCTCTGCATTGCACCTTGCGTGTGCATTGGCTGCCTCCCTCCCTCTGTTGTTTCTCTTTCATCTGGAAAGAGCCAGAAAGGCCGATATTCCCCAGCGCCTGGCTAGTTAAGGACAAAATAAACAAGAACAAGGAGGAAAACTGTGACTGCAAGGGAGCACGGCCACCCGCTGCACGGTGGCGTGTTCAAAGTGACCCTGACAGGCGCTGTGGAAGCCGCAGGTGATGCTCAGCAGATGTGACAGAGATGGAACTAGCTGGGAGGAGGCTGTGCGAGGGGCCAGGGCACGACCTGAGAAGCTGCAAGAGTGGCAAGAGCGCCGAGCATGCGGCGTGTCCCCGTGATGCTGCAAATGCATCTCCTCGGGGCACACTGTGGGGAGAAACCATGCCGGTACTTTTGCAGCTGCCAAGAATTGTTCCCTCTTTTTCACAGATGGGTAAACTGAGGCAAGCAGAGACAAGGCAATAACTTGGGAGCAAGGGCAATATCTCTGCCTGTGAGCACAGCTTTTGGTGAGGTCCCTAGCACCTTGGCCACGAGACCATTTTTCCTGAGTGGAAGTAGATCCCCATGTCTGTGGGTTTGAAGGTCCAGGAAAGCTCCAGCTTCTCCGGCTGGCTACTGAGCACTGCAGCTGGCACACGTGTGGAGCATCCCTGTGCTGGTGGGTTTGCTGCGCTGCTCCTTCCACCCAGAACACATCCTTCGCCCAGCAAACTGATGCAGAAGGTGCAGCACMCCTTCCCTCCTGGCTTTTTTTTTCAAGGGGTACAACAGGGATTGCTTTAGGTGGGCTGGCCGCAYGTTGTGCTGAAGCGGAATGTGCTGCATCACCTGCTGACGAGCAGGCAGGTCCTCAGCCCTTTGCCACGTTTGGAGACTTTGTCATGTCCCTGGAAAGACAAAACCCCCAGAAGGSTCATAAATCTCCACGAGGGTCAAAGAAGGAGAGGGAAGACACTCCAGCTAGCATGAGGAATTCATCCGTTCTCCTATGGGTTGGCAGGTGGAGCAGAAAATCTGCCGATATATTCAAGGCCCTAATAACTTTGGAAGCGTCCCGTGGATATTAATACAGAACTGTATCTCGCCTCCGCTGCTGAGCAGCTTTTATCACTGCAGACACTTTTGCTGACACCGAGCTATTTGTTTTGCAAGAGATGCTCCCTGGGCAGGGATCAGGGGAGGCTGAGCTAATGCTGCCTGACATACTTCATTTGGGAGATAAGAAGGGCTGGTGAGAGGAGAAGGAGACTGGGAAGGACTCTGGGGATGAAGGCCTTCTCCCACTCCTGGGAAGCGGGAGCCTGTGCGGAGAAGGGAGTTTGAGGAGGATTTTGAAGACCTGTGAAGCAGCACCTGGCTCCGTGTGTCCTAATTCTGCTCCATCTTCTCTGGACCAAGCCTTGGGCTGTCCGCAGGGATTGCGGTGCCAACTGAAATACAGCTCTTCTGCTGGGCAAAATGGGACGTGYTGGACAGCCTGTGGCCAGCAGCTGGTCTGGGGCTGAGTTCAGGGTCACCATGGCCAGACTCATAGGGCCTACAGAGGGATCTGCCAGGGAAGCAACCACACGGGCTGTGGTTGACTCGTCGTTGCTCCACCGCTAAAGCAGCAGCTCCTGCATTTCTGCAAGGAAGAGCCGACAGAGTTAAGTGTGTTTGGGTTATTATTTTAAGACATTTTTATGAGACAGAGCGTGACGATGGAGAAAAGATGTCCCTGTTTGCCCTTGCAGGACCTCATAACACATTGGTGCCTTTACAGCCTTAATCCCGGGAGCTGTTTTCGGCTTTTCTTGCTGGCAGCATAGAAGTTACCAAGCTGTGCRTGTCCCCAGGTGTGACAGTTGGGCCGAGGGATTGCTTGGGAACAGGATAGGSTTGGCTTTGGCAGAGCGCTGAGGAAGTAACGACCAACACAAGTGACCACCAATTCCTGAAGGAAATGCTGAGAAAACCTGGCACTGCAACGGAAGAGGAAGAGGCGGCTGCTGAAGAGCAGATGGAAATCAGACCAGGACAATTCCGGACTAGTTTGCCAGGCCATTTCTCCCCAAATKAAACTTTTAGTTTGTTTTCTTAATGGGAGATTTCAGATAGCCAATTTGAAAACAGAAGCAGCACCAGAGCATTAGTTAGTTGTTGCTGTTAGCTTGTTTCTGAGGAAATAAAACCTTCGTTTGCATTTTGTTTTTAAGATTTCTCTCCCTTTTGCTGCTGGGGAGGGAAAGAGAAAATCTTTTAGCTGTGAATAAATAAGGTAGACCTTCTGCAAACTTGAAACACAACTCCATTTACTTATTTATTCCTTCTATTTCACCCAGTAAAAGCAGCAAACACTGCCGAGAACTCGGGCTTATTTTCCTAAACACGGTAATTGCTCCAAGTCAGCTTTGCTTTTTTTTTTTTCGTTTTTAATCTCCCTCCCATTAACTAAAATTCAGATTTAATAGGATTTCAGCCAGCTGCATTGTGTCTTGCTTGTCCCAGTGTTAGTTGTGCTTTGGAGCGGTCTCACCTGTGAGATGTGCTGCTGATGTACACATAGATACACACATATGTAYGTGATAACTTGCTCTCTGTGATGGTGCCATGTGGCAGCTCCTGATTTATTTCGAACTCAAGGAGAGCTTGCTCCGAGATGAATTTGTTCGTATTAATTACACSGGGTCCCTGCTGAGATTTTTAACAAGATTCTGCGTTCCGAGCAGCGCTGCTTCGCTTCTCCTCCTGSTCTCTCTCCTCCCTTTCGGGGCCCGTTGTGCACGGAGGGACTTTCGCTCCCCGTGCCGCTGGTGGGCATGAGCGTGCTGGTGACACTCGTGGTGACGGGACCTCCTAGAGGAGCATCCAAGGAGCATCTCCAACGCAGGGTCAGCGCGACCCTCCTGGGGCGGTGCTTGGTCTGCTGCAAACTGTGGGCTCCGAGAAAGCATCATCGGCTGTTCTTGAGCAGCTACCACGTTCAGGAGAAACCCTGCACCCGTGGGAAATCCTTGCCTGTTCTTTAACCTGTCCTTGYTGGCTTCTTGGTCGTGCATATCCACCGTTGCCCAGCTATGGCTGGTGAGCTAACCCCACTGCTTGCTCCCTTCTTGCGTGGTGCTGTACCCGGTAAGCCCTACGAGGTGTCACTGGCCAGAGCTCGCTGCTGTCCCACGTCCCTGGGAGCTCCTCAGGCTTTCCGCAGCTCCCAAAAGCTAATGGATGATGTAGCAAATGCAGCGAGCGCGATGGCAAGAAGCAATCTCTTAGCTTCCTCGGTGAAATAAGATGCATCAGGTTCCGGTATTCAAATATTTATGGATTGAAATCTGACCTGGAAATGAGAGCAGTGGAAACTCAAGCAGGGCAATGAGCAGTGGAAGTGCTCTCCTGCTTCTTGTGATCAACCCATAAGTTGGGCCTTTTATCTTGCCTAGAGAGAGGAGGGGAAGGCAAAGTCTGTCTCCAGGACGGAGTTGAGCTCATGGGACAAGCCCCACTGCCATGAAGAAGCAAGAGACTCTCCACAGTGTCACCCAGACCAGGCAGAGACAGTGCTGGCTCATATAGTGCTCATTGAGCACGAGAGAAGACCACCCATTGAGAGAAGACCCCTAGCAGGACGCACTGAGCTGGGAGGGTTAGCAGCAATCTTGGCAGAAGTGATGARTAACCCAAAGGGTTGGGTTTTCTTCTTCCTTGCAGGTCTGGGTGAGCGGGCAGGAGGTACTTCCCCATTAATCTTGTCAGCTCCAACCTGGAGATGACAGTGGGTCTTCCATGGGAGCCCTTGCCCTGCATGAACGCGAGCTTTGAGGTTGGTGACTGGGTCACGGAGGGCTACAGAAGGTTCCTCCATGTGTTGAGGAACATCCATTCCTCAACATGAGATATGTTAGTATAAGGGTTGCTGTTGGCCAAGCATCTTGGTCTGAGGTGGTGGGGTTAAATAAAGCAGGGGTGGGGAGGCACCAGCACCAGCATGAGCGCATGCATGGGGAAACCTGTGCACGCTCAACAAGGCCACAAATAGCTCCAGGAGAACAGCGAGGACACGGCCTCCCCACAGCCCGGAGATCTGAAGGCAGAAGAGCATAAACTCCTTTTATCGAAGTGAAGCCGGCTTTGCGCTCGCACCAGCAATTYCCCGACCTCGCGGGCTTCCCTCCGTGGGATTAATGAGGTTAGTCAACGAGCGTGATCCGATTTGGGTCTGTGCTATTCTCGGCCGGGTTTAGGCGCCGCGGCACGGGCGCGTGTGCGGATTGGCGGCGCGAGGCGGCTTTGCGGGATCAACCAGAGCATATTGATAAGCAGCCTGGTCCCCGCCGGAGCTAACCCCGGTAAAAGGTTTAAAGAGGACACGTGTTTTGCTCGCGAGGGGTCTCTGAGCAGGGTGCTGATGTGCCGGAGAGGGGCTGGTTTTCTTTGGGGACCCTTCGTGGCCCAGCAGGGTAGGAGAAAAGCAGGGCTAGGAGCCCAGTGCTGACGCTTGCCCAACCCAAGGAAGGGAACTCTGGCAAGGGACAATGTTCCCCTGCSAGGATCCCTCTGTTCAGAGATGCAGGAGGCTCAGCCTAGGGAAACTCAGCCTAGGGGTAGGCAGGGATGCTCCGGTCCGGCTCTTGGATCTGCATGGGGCCACGAGGGCCGTAAGGGCCAYGTCCAGCTTTCCAGGAGCCCGGTTCCTCTTTGTTCACCACAATTCAGCTCTGTTTTTGCAGCAATTCACCTCTGCCCCTACCTCAAAAATGTTTTTGCAGCCTTTAAGTGCTGTGGAAATCAGCTCTGTAGCTGCAGCCGAGAGAAGGGGGCAGCCAGTCTGGATCCTCTCTCCAGCCTGCCTTTCTTACTTTCCTATATTTTAATTTCAACTGGGGCTCGTCGCATCCACACGCACAGAAGCAGATCCAGGTTTGGAGTCTTGGGGGTTTCAATGGGAGATGGTAGAGCCAAGGGGGCTCCCCATTGCTGCGGATGCGCTGCCTCTGCCCCGCGGAGATGGGGTGCAGGGGGCTGGGTGAGGGGGACACAGGGTGTCCCCTTCCCTTGGGGTCACTCCTTAGGTTCCTGGGTAACCATCAGTGAGCAGGTTCCGAGCGGCTTTTCCCAGCTTCAGGGAGCTTTTACCTGGCTAATACCGTGACACCGGATCAGGGCCGGGGATTTGGGCTGCTCTCGGGGCGCACGGAAGAAGCGGAGCATCCTCGAGCCCACGGGTGTTTCCAAAGCAGCCTGCTTCTTAACTACATTTTCCCAATTTCTTCTCTGCAAAAACAACTCCAGAGCTGTCTCCTTCGTTTCGTCGGCAGTAACAAAGAAAATAAGTTGAATTATGTGAAATCTCCACCCCTCCCCAGCCCCAAAGCCCATTTCTCTTTCTCCCCAGACAGCCCTTGCCGCTGCTTCAATTGCTTCTAATGGAGATGTCCATCAYGGAGCGGACGCAAGCGAGGA